ATATATATATATATATATATATATATATATATATAATATATTTATTTGTTTTTTGAAACAGGGTCTCACTCTGGCTGCCCAGGCTGAAGTACAGTGATGCAATCTCAGCTCACTACAGCCTCAGCATCCTAGGATCAGGTGATTCTCCCACCTCAGCCTCCCAAGTAGCTGGGACTACAAGTGTACACCACCATGCCTGGCTAATTTTTTGTATTTTTAGTAGAGATGGGGTTTCACTATGTTGCCCAGGCTGGTCTTGATCTCCTGGATTCAAGCAATCCACCCACCTTGGCCTCCTGGCGTGATGGGATTACAGGTGTGAGCCATGGCACCCGGCCTTATAATTCTTTGTTAAAAATGTCAAATCTTCAGGAATGTTGCACTAATAGTACAATTAATACTCTAATACCTTTGTTATGATTTGAGTGCAGCCCTCAAAAGCCTGCACTGGGAACTTAATCCCTAATTCAACAGTATTTAAAGGTAGGGCCTAAGGGGAGGTTCATGAATCCATTAATGCCAATTATCGAAGGGCCAATTATAAAAGGACTTCACAGGCTGTGAATTTGATCTCTTCCTCTCTCTGGCTCTCTCTTTGCCCTTCTACAGTGCAATGACAGAGCAAGAAGTCCCTTGCAAGATACTGGTCCCTCAATATCTTAGATTTCCCTGCCTCCAGAACTGAAAGAAATAAATCTCTTTTCTGTATAAATTACCCAGTCTCAGATACTCTGTTACAGCAGCATAAAATGGCCCAACTTGCCCCACCTGCTTTCTTGTTTTTCTTTCTCTTACTTTTTCTTTCTCTATTTTCAGACACACAGTTTGTTTTTGTTTTTTTTTCTTTGAGATGGAGCCTAGCTCTGTTGCCCAGGCTGGAGTGCAGCGGCGTGATCTCGGCTCACTGCAACCTCTGCCTCCCAGGTTCAAGCAATGTTCCTGCTTCAGCCTCCTTAGCAGCTGGGATTACAGGCGCCCGCCACCACGCCTGGCTGATTTTTGTATTTTTAGTAGAAATGGGTTTTCACTGTGTTGGCCGGGCTGGTGTTTAACTCTGGACCTCGTGATCTGTTCACCTCGGTCTCCCAAAGTGCTGGGATTACAAGCGTGAGCTACAGCACCCGGCCGACACACAGTTACTTAAAAATCATGAACCATTGAGCTGGGCGTGGTGGCTCACACCTGTAATCCCAGCACTTTGGGAGGCTGAGGTGGGCTGATCACCTGAGGTCAGGAGTTCGAGATCAATCAGTTTGACCAATATGGTGAAACCTCATCTTAAAAAAAAACAAAAAAATCATAAATCATTTGTAAGTTGCAGGCATCATGCCATTTTACTCCTAAATACTCCTAAGAACAAAGACATTCTCCAGTATATCCATAATGCAGTTATCAAGCTTTGAGACTCTTCATTTTAAACGCGACAACACACAGGCAGGAGGTTAAATAACTTCCTTGATTTTGACAAACCAAAGACTACTGAACCCAGGTCTCTCAATTCCCAGCCTAGGCATCAGTACAAACAGGGTGGGTTGAGTGGATTCTCCATTCAGTTTACAACCTAAAAAAGAGGTTAGGAGCGCCAGCAACAGTGGAGATAAATAAAGGCTAGACATTGGAGTTTGATACCACTTCCTAGTTTGTGATAGACCAAAATTGTAATACCCTGAAGATTTTTTTAAATAAAATTTTAATATTATTATTATGTGTAATTGTGGGAGTATTTTCTTTGAAGCCAAATGAACTAGGTTTGAATCCCAACTGTGCTAATTAGGGCTAAGCAACTTTAGGCATATGACTTAATCTTTCTGTATCTGTTTCTATACCTATAAAATTGAGGATAATAGTAGTACCCACCTTGTGAGGTTGTGGTGAGGGTTAAATGAGTTAACACATGTAAGGAGCTTAGAACCATGCCTGGCATTTGGTATGAGATCGACATATGTTAGCTACCTTTACTTTATTGATTGATTTATTGATTGAGACAGAGCCTCATCCTGTCACCCAGGCTGGAGTGCAGTAGTGTGATCCCAGCTCACTGTAACCTCTGCCTCCCAGGTTCAAGCAATTCTCCTGCCTCAGCCTCCCAAGTAGCTGGGATTACAGGCACCTGTCACCACACCCAGCTAATTTTTTGTATTTTTAGTAGAGAGGGGTGTTGGCCAGGCTGGTTACAAAATCCTGACCTCATAATCCACCCGCCTCAGCCTCCTAAAGTGCTGGGATTATAGGCGTGAGCCATCATGCCTGGCCTAGCTACCTTTATTTTAAAAACTGTTTCTTTTTTTTTTGTTTGTTTTTGTTTGTTTTTGTTTTTTTAGACAGAGTTTCACTCATGTTACCCAGGCTGGAGTGCAATGGCGCGATCTCGGCTCACCGCAACCTCCGCCTCCACGGGGCTCATCCAAGGGGCTGATGCTTCCTCCGCCTCCTGGGTTCAGGCAATTCTCCTGCCTCAGCCTCCTGAGTAGCTGGGATTACAGGCACGCACCACCATGCCCAGCTAATTTTTTTGTATTTTTAGTAGAGAGGGGTGTTGGCCAGGCTGGTTACAAAATCCTGACCTCATAATCCACCCGCCTCAGCCTCCTAAAGTGCTGGGATTATAGGCGTGAGCCATCATGCCTGGCCTAGCTCCTTTATTTTAAAAACTGTTTCTTTTTTTTTTGTTTGTTTTTGTTTGTTTTTGTTTTTTTAGACAGAGTTTCACTCTTGTTACCCAGGCTGGAGTGCAATGGCGCGATCTCGGCTCACTGCAACCTCTGCCTCCTGGGTTCAGGCAATTCTCCTGCCTCAGCCTCCTGAGTAGCTGGGATTACAGGCACGCACCACCATGCCCAGCTAATTTTTTTGTATTTTTAGTAGAGACAGGGTTTCACCATGTTGATCAGGATGGTCTCGATCTCTTGACCTCGTGATCCACCCGCCTCGGCCTCCCAAAGTGCTGGGATTACAGGCTTGAGCCATCGCGCCCGGCCAATAATCATATTTTTATGAAAACAATGCATAGGTACTGTTCCTCAAAAATCAGGAACATCCCCCTCCCAGCAAAAACAATGCCATCATGCAGACACACCAGTGGTGAAGACCTTGCTGTGTTACTCGTCCTTGGGGATGTGTATGATCATGATTACAATGTATATATTGTTTTGTAAACTTTGACAATATATTGCAAACAGCTTTCCTTATTAATCAGTGCACTTCATATATATATTTACATATATATATATAAATAATTTTTATAGACAGGGTCTTGCTGTGTTGCCCAGGCTGGACTCAAACCCCTAGACTCAAGCCCTCCTCCTGCCTCAGTCTCCTGAGTAGCTGGGATTACAGACGCACACTACTGCACCCAGCCATATCTTTTTAAAGAAATGGCTTCTAGGTCTTCTATGATATGTTTAATTTATAGTCTTTTAATTTTGATTTCTTCCCTGAGAAAAATGACCTTCCATCAAGGTTGTGACTGACAGTAATTACACATAAGGTGATAACATATAACATTTATTTTTTATATGATCAAATTATATTCTTCTATTTTCCCTTATATGTTTCCAGAAAGCAGAGTCAGGGTACATGCTTCCAGTATTTATCACTTCAAATACTTATGTGGCCAGCTCATACAACTTAGCAGAGGGGTCTCTGAGAGAAGAGGCCTGAACATTCCTCTGTGAGCTGTAAATTACATACAAATGTTTACCACGGTGCTCAAGACAATTAGCACTGTCATCACATTATTTTATTTATTTATTTATTTATTTTTTATTGCATTTTAGGTTTTGGGATACATGTGAAGAACATGCAAGATTGTTGCATAGGTACACACATGACAGTGTGATTTGCTGCCTTCCTCCCCATCACCTATATTGGGCATTTCACCCCAAGCTATCTCTCCCCAATTCCCCACCTCCTCCGTCCCTCCCCTATTTCCCCCCGACAGACCCCAGTGTGTGATGCTCTCCTCCCTGTGTCCATGTGTTCTCATTGTTCAACACCCACCTATGAGTGACAACATGCAGTGTTAGATTTTTTGTTCTTGTAACATTACTATATTTAAAAAATATTTCTCCAAGTACAAAAATAGTCACTTTGAAATTCCTTCAACAGAACAGACTTCAAAAAGGACCCCCACAGGATAGAACATTTACTAAAGTCTTAGGGATACTGCCTACCAGGCACACGATGGCCACCTACATATCAGCTCCTGTTTATTCTGATGTCACTGAAGGGTCCAGGCAGTTCCAAAGCCCAGGGCATGCGTACCTGTTGTACATCTTCAGCAGGATCAGAACCACGGTGAAGATGACGATGACAACCACCACAACGCCAGCAACAATGGCTCCAGAACCTACGGAGAGGAGAGGAACAGAGATAGTGAATGTGCAAACTGAACGACAACTGGAAGGGCGCCCTGTTGTGGCACCTGACATCCTCACTGGGTCAAGGGAAGCAGGAGAGAGGGTAATGTCCTGGGACACTCCCAGTTGACCACAGGACAGTCACATCTGGAGTGGCTGTGAACCCCTGCCCTGCGCTGGGCTTGAAGGACCCCGTCCTCAGCACACCATCTTCCAAAACACAGCCTCTAGCTTCTGGGAAATAAATAAGCAAAATACCTTCCTTTCTTTTTGGTAATGCAAAAGTGGCATGTGATTTTTGTAGATAATAATTTTGAAAATATAAATAGGTGCAAAAAAGAGGGGGAAGTTGAAGAACTCATTGGCCCAACGACTGCTGATTATCTACCTACATTCACCAACATGATCGTGTTGATGCATGGTAAATATCTATCAGGACCAATGGCTCATGCCTGCAATCCCAGTCCTTTGAGAGGATGAGGTGGGAGTCTCGCTTGAGCCTTGCTTGAGTGTGAGACCAGCCTGGGCAACATAGCAAGATCCTGTTTCTAGAAATAAAAAATAAAAAATTAGCCAGGTGTGGTAGCATGCACCTGTAGTCCCAGCCACTTGGGAGGCTGGGGAGGAAGGATCTTTTGAGCCTGGGAGGTTGAGGCTGCAGTGAGCCAAGATTGTGCCACTGCACTGCAGCCTGGGTGACAGAGCAAGACCCTGTCTCAAAAAATAAAAATAAATGCATACATAAATATCTGGCTAGGTGCAGTGGCTCACATCTGTAATCCCAGTACTTTGTGAGGCTGGGGGTGAGCATCACTTGAGCCCAGGAATTCCAGAGCAGCCTGGGCAAGATAACAAGACTCCATTTGTATACATTAAAAAAAAAAAAGTCTATCATAGTTTTAAAATAATTTAATAATAATATATTTGAATATTGATCCTAAAGGAAATATTCCTAAGTATGGAAAAATATTCACTTAGTAAAAATAGAACCATGTTTCATATACTGTTTTTTTCTTGTTTTTTTTTTTTTTTGAGACAGAGTCTCGCTCTGTCACTCGGCTGGAGTGCAGTGGTGCAATCTTGGCTCACTGTAACCTCTGCCTCCTGGGTTCGAGTAATTCTTCTGCCTCAGCCTCCAGAGTAGCTGGGACTACAGGCCCGCATCACTATGCCTGGCTAATTTTTGTATTTTTGGTATAGACAGAGTTTCACTATGTTAGCCAGGATGGTCTCGATCTCTTAACCTCATGATCCGCCCACCTTGGCCTCCCAAAGTGCTGGGATTACAGGTGTGAACCACCACACCCAGCCTCATATACTATTTTATAACAATATCATAATCATCCTTCTGTTGAATTATATATTTTTCTTCATGACTTTCCATGGCTGCATAGTACTCCATTGTTTGGATGTGCCAGAATCTGTTCACCAGTTCTCTGCTGAGAATACTTATGTTGTTTACAGTTTTTCACTGTTAAAAACAAGGCTGTGATGATGTCCTTACTGCTTAATGTCTTAGACACTAATTTCAATATTAGTTCCCAGTTCCAATGTCATACTCCAATTTTAGTTTAGGTTTTTTTTTTTTTTTGAGAGGGAGTTTTGCTCTTATTGCCCAGGCTGGAGTGCAGTGGTGCGATCTCGGCTCACTGCATCTTCTGCCTCCTGGGTTGAATTGATTCTCCTGCCTCAGCCTCCCAAGTAGCTGGGATTACAGGTGTCTGCCACTATGCCTGGCTAATTTTAGTTTTTTTAAATAGAGACAGGGTTTCACCATGTTGGCCAGGCTGGAGGCCACCAAACCTGGCTTCCAATCTTAGTTTCAAGATCAATATCCTTGTCAGAATTGATATTGAAAATATCAAGAACCTCTGGGTGCGGTGGCTCACGCTTGTAATCCCAGCACTCTGGGAGGCCCAGGCAGGTGGATCATCTGAGGTTTGAGACTAGCTTGCCCAACATGGTGAAATCCCATCTCTACTGAAGATACAAAATTTAGCTGGGCATGGTGGCAGTCTCCTGTAATTCCAGCTACTCAGGAGGTTGAGGCAAGAGAATCACTTGAACCCAGGAGGCAGAGGTGGCAATGAGCCAAGATTGTACCATTGCACTCCAGCCTGGGTGACAAGAGCAAAACTTTGTCTCAGAAGAAAAGAAAAAATCAAGAACCATAAGCATGTTTATACTTTAAAGCAATCTATTTGCCGCTGAAGAATTTATCTTATTTTTTATTTTTATTTTTATTTATTTATTTATTTATTTTTGAGATGGAGTTTCACTCATGATACCCAGGCTGGAGTGCAATGGCGCGATCTCGGCTCACTGCAACCTCCGCCTCCTGGGTTCAGGCAGTTCTCCTGCTTCAGCCTCCTGAGTAGCTGGGATTACAGGCACGCACCACCATGCCCAGCTAATGTTTTCGTATTTTTAGTAGAGACGAGGTTTCACCATGTTGACCAGGATGGTCTCGATCTCTTGACCTCGTGATCCACCCGCCTCGGCCTCCCAAAGTGCTGGGATTACAGGCTTGAGCCACCGCGCCCGGCCCTGAAGAATTTATCTTAAGGGAATAATCCTAAATACAGAAAAAGTTGAGTGAATCAAGATGTTTATTATGACAATATTCATATTCTAAATATGAGAATGGTTAAATAAGGTATGGGAACCTATAGAATAAAATATTATACTATCATTTATTTATTTGTTTATTAGAGATGGGGTCTTGCTCTGCCCCCAGGCTGGAGTGCACTGGCACAATCATAGCTCATTACTCCCAGGTTTGAACTCCCAGGCTCAAGTGATCTTTCATTTTCAGCCACCTGAGTAGATGGGACCACAGGTACACGCCCCATGCAAGCTAATGTTTAAAACAATTTTTGTAAAGACAGGATCCTGCTATGTTGCCTAGGTTGGTCTCAAACTCTTGGCCTCAAGCAATCTCTCTGCCTTAGCCTCCCAAAGTGTTGGGATTACAGGTATGAGCCACCACTCCTGTCTATAAAATAATTTTAATGATGATTATGAAGACTACGGTAACCTGGGAACGATTTTGATGATGTTAAGTGTAGAAACAGGTTGGGTGCAGTGGCTCATGCCTGTAATCCCAGCACTTTGGGAGGCTGAGGCAGGCAGATCACCTGAGGTCAGAAGTTCAAGACCAGCCTGGCCAACATGGCAAAACCCCATCTCTACTAACAATACAAAAATTAGCTGGGCTTGGTGGTGCATGCCTGTAATCCCAGCTACTCAGGAGGCTGGGGCATGAGAATCGCTTGAGCCGGGGAAGCAGAGGTTGCAGTGAGGCAGTGAGCTGAGACGGTATCACGGCACTCCAGCCTGGGCGACAGAGTGAGACCCTGTATAAAAAAAGAAAAAAAAAAAAAAAAAAAGAAAAGAAGAAAAGAGATTATATACATCCACCCAATATGTATTTATATACCATATGTTACAACCATTAAAATATGTGCATAGAAGCATATGTAGAATGAAAGAAGCCAGATACAAAGGAGTGCATATGGTCTATGAGCCATTTATATAAAGCTCAAAACCAAGCAGAACTAATCTATGGTGGTAGAAGTCAGAATAGCGGGTCTCTTGGGTGGGTGGAGGATGGTGATCAGAAGGGGCACCAGGACCTCTGGGATACTGGTGGCGGCTGTTTTTTGAGATGGGGGTTAGTTGCACAGGTATGCTCACTTTGTGGCAATTTACCCAGCTGTGCACTTATGATGTGGCCACATTTTGAATGTAGGTCATGCCTTTATAAAAAGTTTGCTTAGAAAGCCAACAACCATGTGCAAATATTCATAGGAAGAAATGCTGGAAGGAAAAAAACAGAGGGCAGGAAATCCATCGAGGGCAACTTAGCTTTTTTTTCTTCTTGGGGAGACTTTAGTTCCAGGTTTTTCAACCACAGCAAGCTAATTCTTTGCTGAGGAGGCTGTCCTGTGCATTGCAGGACGTTTAACCTTATCTCTTGCCTCTGTCTACCAGATGCCAGTTGCAATCCCCCCAAGCTCCCTCCACCCCCACCAAACTGCGACAACCAAGGTATCTCCAGACAATGCCAAATGGTCCGTGGTGGTAGGGCTGCCAGATAAAATCAGAATTTCCAACAAACAATGGATAACATTTTAGTATAAGTACATCTCAAATATTGCATGATACAAACTAAATAAGTATTCATTGTTTATCTTAAATTCAAATTTAACTGGGCATTCTATATTTTAATGTGTTAAATCTGGTAACTCTATCTAGGAAGGCAAAATTGCCTAGCTGAGAACCACTGCTTTCTTTTCTTTGCTTTCCCCTTTCCCTCCCTCCCTCCCTTCCTTCCTCTCCCTCCCTCCCTCTCTTTCTTTCTTTCTCTGTCTCTGTCTCTCTCTCTCTCTCTCTTTCTCTCTTTCTTTCTTTCCTCTCTCTGTCACCCAGGCTGGAGCGCAGTGGTGCAATCTTGGCTTACTGCAACCTCCACTTCCCAGGTTCAAGCGATTCTCCTGCCTCAGCCTCCCAAGTAGCTGGGACTACAGGTGTGCATCACCACACCTGGTTAATTTTTGCATTTTTAGTAGAGGTGGGGTTTTACCATGTTGGCCGGTCTCAAACTCCCAACCTCAGGTAATCCACCCACTTTGGCCTCCCAAAGTGCTGGGATTACAGGCCAAGAACCACTTCAGTTCAATTAAAACAGAACGATTCTCGTCTTCCCAATAGTGATTCTCTCTACCCTGCGTTTCCCTCAGAACTGTTTGGAGACACACCTCCCTAGGCCTCTGTAGGTCTGCCCACCCAACAAGGAGCAGAATACCCATAGGACCCCATCCTGGGAGAGACCCCTTCTGAGTCTTCACAGAAGAGATATATCCTGCCATTCATCCAGCCACCTGCCAGAACCACAGCCTGAAGCTGTTCGTCACTGTGGAACACCCGCCCTGTGTGTGGGGAAGACTGTCTCATGCCCAGAGGTATCTGTGTAGCCAGCTGAAATGGCTGACATGCACCCAAACTTCTCCTTATACAATCAATTGATTTTCTGAAGAGTCATCCTGAATGTTTCCTTCCAGGGACCACTTGTTCACGGCAAATGCCTCCCCAGAACTCACCTGCATTCATTTACTCCTTCATCAACTGATGGGATGTTTTTTGCCTTGCAGAAATGGTATAAAAATAGCTACTTGGGATTTTTATTTGTTTGTTTGTTTGTTTGGAGACAAGGTCTCGCTCTGTTACCCAGGCTGGAATGCAGTGGTGCAATCTCGGCTCACTGCAGCCTCGACCTCCCAGGCTCAAGAGATCCTCCTGCCTCAGCACCCTTCGTGTGGCTGGGACTCCAGGTGTAACACCGCCACGCCTGGTTAATTTTGGTATTTGTTGTAGACATGGGGTTTCACTATGTTGCCCAGGCTGGTCTTGAACTCCCAAGATCAAGGAGTCTGCCTGCCTTGGCCTCCCAAATTGTTGGGATCACAGGCATGAGCCACCATGCCCGGGCATTAGCTATATTTTAAGGTGACCCATATACAGCCATTTTACAAGAGATACCAATTTCAGTGCCCTCTAGACCCCAAGACTTTTAAACACAAATAACAGTAATTGTAGTTCTAGTAATATTTGTTTGTTTTGGAGTCTCACTCTGCTGCCCAGGCTGGAGTGCAGTGGCACGATCTTGGCTCACTGCAACCTCTGCTTTCTAGGTTCAAGTGATTCTCCTGCCTCAGCCTCCTGAGTAACTGGGGCTACAGGTGCACATCACCATGCCCATAATCTTTGTGTGAGGTCTTTTAGGCTGACTGACAGTGCTGTGGATGCCATATTAACCTCTGTGACCTGCAGGGACACTCCAGATGAATTCCCGGAAAATCTGAAGTAACTGGAAGACCATGAAAAGAGGAAGAAGTGATTAACCCCTGTGGCACCTAATTAACTTTGAGACATTCTCTATCGTTCCTTATTCCTGCCCCAATTGATAAGGCAATTGGACTTTGTAACCGACCTTGGTCAGCCTCGTGACTCCAGACCCTACGAACCCCTCCCAGGTTGCCAACCTATGACCCCCTCCCCACTTGTAAAAAACCGCTCAAACCTATAAAACCAACTCCTATCCCACCACCCTTCCCTGACTCTTTTTTTGGACTCAGCCCTCCCGCACCCAGGTGAATAAGCAGCCATGTTGCTCACACAAAGCCTGTTTGAGGGTTCTCTTCATTCAGCACTCGAGTTTTAACACTTTGTATTTTCAGTAGAGATGAGGTTTCACCATGTTGGTCAAGCTGGTCTCAAACTCCTGACCTCAAGTGATCCACCTGCCTCAGCCTCCCAAAGTCCTGGGATTACAGCTGTGAGCTACCACACCCAGCCATCAGTAATTAACAATCATCATCATCATCATTAGGTACTTAGTATGTACCAGAGGCTGTGCTAAACGGTCTATCTGGATTATCCCCTTCAGTCCTCACAACTGCCTTATGTGATAGCTTCATTAACATCCCCATTGTATAGATGAGGAAATGGAGGCACAGAGCAGTAAAGTCATGTGCTCAGGGCTATACAGTTGGCAGGTGGCAGAACCGGGCCTGAGACCCAGGCACGCTACCTCTGGAGCCCACACTGTTAACCTCTGCACCATGACCACAACATTTGTCCTGCCATCTGTCCCCCAGCCTCCAAGCCAAGTTGACCTTACTCTTATATAGGAAGTCTTCTCCCCTCGTGGTCATGTTCAATGAGAAGAAGGTGGTATCCCCCAGAGGAGTGGCCGTGGTCATCTCGATCCTGACGAGAAAGAAGAAATTTTGTTTAAAATGAGATAAATCCGTATTATTGCTACTTGATGCCTCTTTTGGTCTTTATCTGGATGACTGCAGAATATTCAAGCATGCAGTTTCTCTTGGCAGCAAGTAAACACAAAACTCATGATTAGGTACCATGGGGGATTTAATAATAATACCTGACATTTGTAAGTAACTTTGTTTTTCAAAGCGGTTTAAATTTATTCAACAATATGTATTCAACGCCTTCAAATATCTAGATCAATCTCTTGAAACGATGTGAGGTGAGTGACTGTTGCCATTTTACTCATGAAACCAAAGTACCCAAAGCTATCTGGAGTCCCAAGTTTACCCAACAGAATTTTTTTTTTTTTTTTGAGACAGAGTTTCGCTCTTTCTTGCTCAGCCTGAGTGCAGTGGTGTAGTCTCTGCTCACTGCAGCCTCTGCCTCCAGGATTCATGCAATTCTTTGGCCTCAGTGTTGGGAGCCCTCCAGCGTGAACACCTCAGAGCAGGTATTCACTATACGGGAGGTTGGGCCCAGGAGCAGGGCCTCCAGGCAGAGGGAAGTTGAGATAGGGAAGTCGGGGACAAAAGAAAAAGTAGAATCTAGTTAAAAGATAACCAGACAGGCGAAACCAGATGGCCTGCATTCATGAGAAACAAGGTTTTTTGCTACAGAAACTTGCTTATGAACACCAAAGATATTATTATCTTCTATAACCACCTATTGCTTAGCTGTCAATTTATTGTATAGAATTGATGATTTATCTACTTGTTTCTCTCCTTACCATGACGTCAATCGGACCCTGAAAATGTATATGTATTCTGAGCCTTGAGAAATAAAGTTGATGATTGAGCACTGTCTCTTCATCCCTCCTGACCCCGCTTTCTGTCTTCTTTTTTCCTGTGCACTCCCCATTCAGGTTGGAACCCTCTTGCTGGTCAAAGTTCCTGGCAGACATGGCGCCCGAACAGGGACCTTCCAAGTTGCACCTCAGCCTCATGAATAGCTGGGATTACACGTGCCAGCCACCATGCCCAGCTAATTTTTGTATTTTTAGTACAGACAGGGTTTCACCATGTTGGTTAGGCTGGTCTCGAACTCATGACCTCGTGATCCACCTGTTTTGGCCTCCTAAAGTGCTGAGATTATAGGTGTGAACCACTGCACCCAGACAAATTTTTGTATTTTTAGTAGAGATGAAGTTTCACTAAATTGACCAGGCTGGTGTTGAACTCCAGACCTCCTGATCCATTCACCTTGGCCTCCCAAAGTGCTGGGATTACAGGCGTGAGCCACCGCGCCCTGGCTACCCAACAGAATTTAACCAAGATGTCAACCTCCTACCCTAGTGAGCTTTCCTCCATGCTGCAATGACACTTGGACTGGTATTCCTACTTTCAAAGGCTTTATTATCTGAGGATACAAAAATAAATAAATGAACAGATGAAAATTAACTATGTTTAAAAATCTTTTTTTGAGACAAGGTCTTGTTCAGTCACCCAGGCTAGAGTGCTAGGTGCGACCACGGCTCTCTGCAGCCTCGACCACCCTGGGCTCAGGTGATCTTCCCACCTCAGTTTCCTGAGTAGCTGGGACTACAGGTGTGTGCCACCACACCTGGCTAATTTTGAACTATGATTATCAAGCAGTCAGTGACATGAGCCATTGGGCTGTGAGGGACAATTTCATGGAAGAGATATAGTTGAATAGGCCTTGAAGAATGGGCATGGTTGTGGTGTAAGGGGTAAGAGAGCAAGGGCTGGTTCAAACAAAGCCCTCAATCGGAAGAGTTAATGCAGTTTGGGAATCTACCATGCACCAGGCTCTGTCTCAGGAGCCTTCACACACCATATCTTCTCATTTAATCGTCTCGCTCACTGAGAAGTGGCTGTCATCTACGCCCTCCTATTGAGAAGCTGGAGCTCAGAGTGTTTGAGTAATTCAACCAGTCACACAAGTAGGAGGAGGTGGAGCTTGGACTCAAACACTGTCTAGTGTACAATGTATTTTTTTTTCCCTGAGGCCACTAAGAATCAAAATGCGCAAGCCTAGTATGTTCCATTTGAGGAGTGAACCAAGAGTTACAGTGAATATGATGTCACCCCTGGAAAGAAGTGTTGAGATCCTCCACCAAGAATCATTGCACGATGATATAAATAATTGTTCTGGGCCAGCAAGGTGGCTCACACCTGTAATCTCGGCACTTTGGGAGGCTGAGGTGGGCATATTGCCTGAGGTCAGGAGTTTGAGACCAGCCTGGTCAACATGGTGAAACCCCATCTCTACTAAAAATACAAAAATTAGCCAGGTGAGGTGGTGGATGCCTATAATCCCAGCTACTCGGGAGGCTGAGGCAGGAGGATCGCTTGAATCCGGGAGGTGGAGGTTGCAGTGAGCAGAGATGCACCACTGCACTCCAGCCTGGGTGACAGAGTGACTTTGTCTCTAAATAAATAAATAAATAAATAATCACTCTGAACTATAGGAGTCAAGAAAAGAGGGAAGCAAACCACGTTTGGCCTCATTATTTCAGAGTGGCACTTTTACTCCAGCTGCTGACAATTTGGAAGCCCACAAAGAGTCTACGTCAAGAGAATTACCTCGGCCTGTTTGTAATCTTAAGAAGCCATAGGCTTCAATACACCATCTATCGGAGAGAGAGGTATTCTGCACATTAAAAAAAAAAAAAAAAATGGTGTATAAATTTATTTTCTTTTTAAAAGTAAGAAATGTTTTTTACATTATGAAGATGAATATTACAGGAGCCCACATACTGATCACTCAGAGTATTTTTTTAAATGGAGTCTTGCTGTGTCGCCCAGGCTGGAGTGCAGTGGTATGATCTCCACCTCACCGCAACCTCCACCTTCTGGGTTCAAGCAATTCTCCTGCCTCAGCCTCCCAAGTAGCTGGGATTACAGGAGCACACCACCACGCCCGGCTAAGTTTTTTTGTATTTTTAGTAGAGATGGGGTTTCACTATGTTTGCCAGGCTGGTCTTGAATTCCTGACCTCATGATCTACCCGCCTCAGCCTCCTAAAGTGCTGTGATTACATGTGTGAGCCACTGTGCCCAGCCTAAAAAAACTTTTTTTGTAGAGGCTAGGTATCACCATGTTGCCCAGGCTGGTCTCAAACTCCTAGAAGCAAAGCGATCTTCCCGCCTTGGTCTCCCAAAGTGCTGGGATTACAAGCACGATCCACCAAGTCCAGCCAAGTTTTTCTTCTTCTTTTTTTTTTTTGAAGAGTCTCACTCTGTAACCCAAGCTGGAGTGCAGTGGTGCAATCTTGGCTCGCTGTAACCTCTGCCTGCTGGGTTCAAGTGATCCTCCCGAGTAACTGGGATTACAAGTGCCCATCACCACATCCAGCTATTTTATATTTTAATAGAGACAGGGTTTTACCATCTACACCAGGCTGGTCTCAAACTCCTGACCTCAAGTGAACCACCTGCCTCGGCCTCCCAAAGCGCTGGGATTACAGGTATGGGCCACTGTGCTGGTGCCAGTTCTTCTTTATAAGAAAAAAAGTCAGACATAGCTGAAATCCCTTTTGTAGTCTATCTCAATTCCATTTCCTCCCTTCCACAAAGTAACCGCTCCCTTGACCATTAGTGTGTATTCTCATCAAAGTTTTAAAATGTTTACTACATAACATACATATCCATAAAAATTGTATATATTGTGGCTGTACATATCTATTAAACACGTCTATTAAATATCAACCTGGCACCTACTAAGTGACTGATGCTGTGTGCTCAGTGCTGGGAACACACAGGGAATACAAGACAAACTCCTTGCCTTGGGAAGCTCACGTTCTAGTGAGCACAACAGACTATAGATTTGATCATACGATTCTGGGGCTCCAAAAACAATCATTTCCCCTGTCTACCCTTCAATATCTGGTAGTGAAAGTCCTTCACCAGCTGGTTCCACCCTCTGTTTCCAGCCTCTCAGCTGCTCACATCACCCTCTGCCAAACTGCTGTGACAACAGGACACCCCATCCTCCCCCATCATACTTGGTCTTTGCTGCCTCTGGGCTGGCTGCCCCAGGCACTGGCCTCCCCAGTCCCCACCCAGGGTCTCTCTAGAGAGTCCTTATCGTGAGCTGCAGCTTTCCTGCCCTCCCAGCTCTGATGGAAGCAGCCTTGAAACCTACAAACTAGGGTCAAGGTATCTGCAGCCTGACTCGGCTCTGGTGGCAGTGGCCTCTCCCAGGGTCTTCACAGGGTCAGAATGGCCTCTGTGTCCTGGCCCTGTTCATCTATAGGGTGGGCTCTGCCTCTACCTTCTCTGAGCTCCCTTAATCCGGGGCCCTGCCTAACCCTCCCTAGCTCTTGTCTACTCCTCCTTCCAAAGACCAGACCCTCCAGACTCCCAGACTCAGGCTTCCACCAGGAACCCTGTGTGGCTCACCTGACCTCCCCACTCCTGCCACTCTGCCTCCCTGCCTGGGCTTTCTGTCTCCCAACACCTGAAACAGGCTCAGGCTGGCTATGCACTATCGCTCCCCAAGAAAAAGAGCACAGTCTTCAAGACACAGCCCAGGCCAGGCATGGTGACTCATGCCTGTAATCCTAGAACTTTGGGAAGCTAAGGTGGGCAGATTACCTGAGGTCAGAAGTTCGAGACCACCCTGGCCATCATGGTGAAACCACATCTCTACTAAAAATAAAAAAGTAGCCGGTTGTGGTGGTGTGTGCCTGTAGTCCCAGCTACCTGGGAGGCTGAGGCAGGAGAAACACTTGAACCCAGGAGGTGGAGGTCCTGGTGAGCCAAGATTGCACTGCTGCACTTCAGCCTGGGTGACAGAGCGAGACTCCATCTCAGCAAAAAGACACAGCCCAGTCCCCAGTCACCCCCAGGAAGACTCCCACTCAGACAGAAATAGCAATGCTATCCCCTACCCTCCCACAGCAGCGCCCTGAAAAGAAGCACCACTGAGGCATGTGTCCATTGCTTTGTCTGCCATTAATGCTGCATGCTCATTGCCAGGTCCTTGAGGATAGAGACTATTTCTCATTCCTTCTCATATCCTTCTACCTACCTCAGATAAAGTGTCTGGGTCTTTTCTCCTTTGCCAGTGCAAGGGCTGGAGTGAGTAACTGGATTTTTCCCATTTTCATCTGCTCATCTGTAAGATGAGCTGCCTTTCCCTTTCCCTAAGGGAGCTGAGAGTGAGAGGTGAGGTATGGAAAGTGTTTTTTTGTTTTTGTTTTAATTTTTTTTTATACTCTCGCCCCTCCCTCCCTGGAAAGTGTTTTAAAGTGCTCACTAAATTGTAGCTCTAATTATTATAGTGAGTATCAGTAAATATTTGCTGAACTAAATTAGAGACAGGGGAATCTGGAGCTGAAAACTTGGAGACATTCTTTCTATAAAAACAAGCACAAATTAGCTGGCCTAGTGGTGGTCTCCCTCTATTTGAGAGGCTAAGGAGGAAGGATCACTTGAATCCAGGAGTTTGAGGTTGCAATGAGCCATGATGGCACCATTGCACTCCAGCTGGGTGACAGAGCAAGACCCTGTATCTAAAACTAAATAAATAAAATAACATTTTAAAAGGACAGACAAATATGAGAATTTGGAATGAAAGCCTTCCCCACCCAGCACTGCCCACCTCTACTCTCAAGGGGATATGCGGATATGCCTGCCCCATCTCAGCACGTGAAGGGTATTAGTACGCATTTCCCTAAACCTTCTCCTTCTAGCCCCACCAATATGAAGACTCACCAAAAGAAAGTGAGGCTTTCTATTTATTGATTTATTTATTTAGAGACAAAGTTTTGCTCTTGTTGCCCAGGCTGGAGTGCAGTGGCACAATCTCGGCTCACTGCAAACTCTGCCTCCTGGGTTCAAGCAATTCTCCTGCCTCAGCCTCCAGCCTCCCGAGTAGCTGGGATTACAGGCATGCACCACCACACCTGGCTAATTTTGTATTTTTATTAGGGACGGGGTTTCTCCACGTTGGTCAGGCTTGTCTCGAGCTCCTGACCTCAGATGATCTCCTTGCCTTGCCTCCCAAAGTGCTGGGATTACAGGGGTGAGCCACTGAGCCCGGCCAAAAGTGAGGCTTTCTTACAATTTCTTTTAAAAACAGAAAGAAGATGCAAATAGATGGCTGCTGATCAAGGTTTGCTTAGTGAGAGAGACATGGAACAACCATTGGCAAACCCAAATCCATGGACATATTCGCCGTGAAACCAACATGCACAAAATGACAGAAGCCACCATCTGAGTGTTTGGCACGTGCCAAGATCTTGCACCAGATATTTTCTGTCCATGCCCTGATTTAACTAGCAACATGCCAGGTAAGACAAGTTTTCCTTTCCCCTTCTCTCAAATGAAGACCCCAAGACTTGATAATATAAAGCTAACTTCGGCTGGGCGCAGTGGCTCACGCCTGTAATCCCAACACTTTGGGAGGCTGAGGCAGGTGGATTATTTGAGGTCAGGAGTTTGACGCCAGCCTGGCCAACATGGAAAATTAGCCGGGTGTGATGGCAGGCACCTGTAATCCCAGCCACTCTCCAGGGAGGCTGAGGCAGAATTGCTTGAACCCAGGAGGCAGAGGTTGCAGTGAGCTGAGACTGCACCATTGAGCTCCATCCTGGGTGACAGAACAAGACTCTGTCTCAAAATAAGAATAAAAATAAAAACCAGTGAGCTGAGATCGTGCCATTGCACACCAGCCTGGGCGATGAAGTGAGACTCTGTCTAAAAATAAAATAAAATAAAAACATAAAGCGAACTCTCCATGCTCACGGAGCCCCAAAGCGACAGAACTGATGTGTGAACCTGGGTGTTGCGAACGGCAACGCCTGCACCCTTCCTACTGCGCCGCCCTGTCTCTGACACACACTAGTGGGGTCTATGACCGATAACTGCAGGAATACATGCATGCACACACATACACACACTGACCAGTAATGCAGCCACCTAAGGCCACCAGGGCGTACGCTCCGCCACAGGTCCTGCAGGGGTGACCTCCTGGGTGCCGAGTTCCAGGTGCAGACTGTCTTTTAGATGGGCCCAGTTGCTCTTCTCTCTCAGAGAACAGTGGGGAATCTCAGAGCGTATCTTGCCTCATCAGGGAGCGAGGGCTCTCAATTGCATCTCTGTTCCTGCCGCATCAGAGAAGGTGGGAGGGGGAGTGGTAGAACAGCCATGGCCAAGGATGTGGGTGTTTTCAAGTGTGGGGCCCCAGCAACTGCTGTTAACCAAGTGAGGGCCAGCAGGGCCCTTCAGTATCAAATGTGCCTATGAGCAGGGGCCATGGCCCTAGAAAACAGGGAGAGGACAGGGAAGGGGAGGCCAGTTTTCACTGGCAGAGGTTGTTAATAATAATAATAATAATGCGCTATGTGTCAGGCACTGCACTTTGTGCTTTATGTTTGAGATCTCATTTAATCCTCATCCCAATCCAGTAAGGAGGGTACAGGCACTTTGTCCTCTACAGATGAGGAAACTGAGGCTCGGAGCAAAGAAGAAACTGCCTTAACTTCACAAGGCTAACATGAAAACCATGCCAGGATTCAAGCCAGGGTCTGTCTGATTTCACAGCCCCTTCTTTAAAAACCCTCCTAGCAAATGCACAAGGCATAGGTAGCCCAGCATCCAGGGCCCAGAGCAAAGTGGGGCTTTGATGAAAAATCCCACACAGGCTAGGGTGCAGCAGACAGAGTGAGGGACCTTGCCCCAGGCCCCTGACCCTGACCCTGACTTCTACCCAACCTCTCCTGCCCTTGGCCACACTCTGAGACTTCGGTCTTCAGCAGATCCTCAATCACATTTATGTAATCTACAATGGACTATTGTTTTCTTGGGTTGTTTACAAATGGCCTGTGTGGGAGGTCAGTTTGGGAAGTGATGGAGGGTCATAACCACTTACAGATCCATTGCTGTCTGACTAGCTCTTGATCAACTGTAAGAGCTGTATCTGGAAGATGAATGCTGTCAGTCCTCCCCTGTCCAAAATATCTCCCCTGAAGCTCTGCCCTAGGGGTACCCTTTCTCTCTTTGGCCTGGCTTACAAGTTCCTCCCTGGATGAGACAATAAAGATACTGCCAAGCCTGGCTGACCTCTCCTCATATGACCACCTGTCCCTCAGAGCAGGTAACCCACGAAAGCCCTTAATCCCCCACAACATTGGGATTGATTTCTCCCAATCCCCAGAGAGATGGGAGATTCAGCAGGACTTGATCTCCTCCACAGACAAGTGGCTCACTACTCCCAAGCAGCTCCTGGAGATATTGGGATGTTTTAATTGTCAGCAAATTGACCTTCAGGCCAAGTGTGGTGACGTGAACCTGAAATCGCAGCTACTCGGGAGGCTGAGGTGGGAGATTCGTTTGAGCTCAGGAGTTTGAGGCTTCAGTGAGCTGCGACTGAGCCACTGCACTTCAGCCTGGGTGACAGAGCAAGACACCATCTCAAAAAATTAAATTAAAATAAAAAGAAAATTGGGTATTTTCCTCTCAGAAATTCTCTCTTTCTCACCAAAGACAGAACTGTTTTCCTTTGTCTTTTTCTCTTTCTTTTGCCTATGAAACCTCTACTCCTAAACATCTAAAAACAATAATAAAAATAAAAGATTAAAGGAAAAGAAAATTGACCTTCATATCGGCACCTTGTAATTTTTACTTACTGGTGCTAATTATCTTCCCACAAAGGTAAACCTGCTACCTCTTCTAAGTGAAAGCCTTTCAGGATTAAAAGCACTTTTGTGGTGGGGAGTGGTGGTTTATGCCTATAATTCCAGTATTTTGGGAGGCTGAGATGGATGGATTGCTTGAGCCCAGGAGTTAAAGACCAGCCTGGGCTCTTCTCTACAAAAATACAAAAATTAGCCTGGCATGGTGGTGTGCACCTGTACTCCCAGTTACTTGGGAGGCTGAGGCTGGAGGATCGCTTGAGCCCAGGATGTGGAAGCTGCAGTGAGCCAAGGTAGCACCGCTGTGCTCCAGCTTGGGAGACAGAGTGAGACCCTGTATCAAAAAATAAATAAATAAATAAAAATAAAACCAGAAAAGAAAAGAAAAAAGAAACAAGGCACCTTTAACCATTGTGTATGAAAGGGTCAAACTTCCAGGGCTGGAAAGGAGCAGTTAGGGTAGCTGGTATCAGCACATCAATGTTACCTCCCACCAATAGGTGGCGATAGCAGTTGGCCGTAGGTTGGCAAACATCCTGCTGAAGCCAATCTGCTTTTAAGCAGTGGAGCTTTCTGCTCTTGAAAACAGCAACTGTATGTTTTCTGATGATTTTCTTCTCTGGGGTAAAGATTCTCAGCTCCTTCAAACAAGCCTTCGGGTGATAGTGTCCCTCATGGGTTCCTCATTCCTCTGTGTCAAGGACTCCTTTAAGAATGACCCCAAAACTGGACACATGGCTCCAGAGGGGGAGCTGACATGTTCAGAATGACAGTTTTCTTGATACTTATCAGACGTGGCCTGAATTCTGCTATTTACTAGCTGTGTGACCTTGGCCAGCTTTCTTCACCTCTTGGTTTTCTGGTCTGTGAAATACGAATTACAATAGTCACAACTCCATAGGGTTGTTATGAGGATTAAATGAGATGAAACATGCCATGTATTCAGTGCAGCACTATATACAATATCTATTGATATTATCCTAGATCGATGCAAAAAAATAGCTTACTGGCCTTACAGGCTGCCATAGCGCACTGCTCATATGCACCTGCTAACAGACACCCATCCCTTCAGCCCTTTTCCAGACTTATCCTTATATTCATTTATGGTCAATCAAAGCCCTAAGATCAGCAAGTGAAGGGGCTTTTTTTTTTTTTTTTTAGATGGAGTCTTGCTCTGTTTCCCAGGCTGGAGTGCAGTGGCATGATCTCGGCTCACTGCAACCTCTGCCTCCCAGGTTCAAGGGATTCTCCTGCCTCAGCCTCCTGAGTAGCTGGGATTACAGGTGCCAGCCATCACCCCCAGCTAATTTTTGTATTTCTTAATAGAGGCAGGGTTTCACCATGTTGGCCAGGCTGGTCTCAAACTCCTGAACTTGTGATCTGCCCACCTCAGCCTCCCAAAGTGCCGGGATTACAGGCGTGAGTCAACGCAAATGAAGGGGCTTCATAAACTGCAAAGTGGAAATAGAGGGGCAATGACAGCCGCATGATGAGTAGTGACAATATAATGACCGTCTGCTCTCCAGTTGCCAGGACCCCATTCTGCACTTGTGCAAATGACTTTTTGACAATCAGGACTTTGCACTGATCCCTGCTAGCCTTGACCTTGTTGATTTGGACCCTCAGGAGAAACTTCAGCTCCTCCTGGATGGCTGCTGAGAACACTTGATGGTGCTGTGACACAGCACGTTGTCCAGGGGCTCATGACCCAGCAAGGGCTTTGGCGTTGGGTAGACCTGGATTTTAATCTTTCCTTCATCACTGACCAGCTTGATAAGCTAAGCTGCTTTTTCATTTGTAAAACAGGGCTAACGCCTCCTATCTGGTGGGGTTGTGAGAATAAGTGAGATGCCATAATTGCCCAACTGAGCGCCTGGAGTGCTCGTGCCAGTTCCCAGCGCCTCTTTTCTTCTCCCTGGCTCCAGTCTGTGTTCTTCCTGCTCTCTTTGGAGCTTGAACACCCTGTTCTCTGTCTGGTCAAGTGTTGGCTGCATTGGTCAAACTCAGGTCTAAACAGATCAGGGGGCCAGACTGTGAAACCTGGTGTCCCAAGGAGGGGATCTGAGCAGGGCTTCACCAGGACCTCTGAAAGACCTGATCTTCTCCATCTCCATCGAGAGCAGAGACAGAGGAAATAGTGAGACCTCCCCCAAAGAGAAAAACAGTCCTGATGGGACCGGTGGGGCACAGGGGCTGTGGCTGGGCAGAGGAAGAATAAGCTGTAGGTTCGTAACCTGAGACTTGGAAGACCAGGATTTCCCTTGCTACATGATCCCGCAAAGTCCTCTTCCTTCCCTGGACCTTGGTTTTCCTGCCTGTAAAATGGCCCAGTTTGGAGATTATCTCTAAGGCTTTTCCAACCAGCAGTGCTAGTACATGGAACTGTTGATAGCTTCACTCAAAAACCAGTGACTTCCAAAAGCTTATTCTTCTTCGTAGATATGGACTTAGGGAATGTGAGGAGAGGGAAGTCAGCCTTAGCAGGTCACTCTGGAAGGCAGCGATCCTTCCTAGAAGGCACTTGAGACTGGAACAAACTGAAGCAGATTCCATGAAGGGCTTTGATTTGGCAACCGCAGTGCACAGGAAAGGAAACCTGGGGATGAACTTCCCAGCACTCTGCAGGGCACACAGTCACCCAGGCCACCTGATGCATGCACGGCCATTTCTTTCACCCTCCATACCTATTGGGTCCCATGTCATAAGCTCCCCACCCTGTCTGCCCTGTCTGTTCATGGCTCTGTGTGTCACAGCTCCTGAAGATGGGGTAGGAATTCTGCCGAGTGCTCCCCTGAACCGGAGGCCATACACTATTACATATTGAACATGTGTCCCTTGTAGCTGGTTCCCAGAAATAAGGAAGCACATTTTCTGCTCCATGTACCCGCCCATTCTTTCATCCTCCCGTCCACTCATGCCCCTATCCACCTGAACACTCACTGGGCACAATCCTCCTTCCACCCGTTCTGTCATCCGTCCTCCCATCCATTCAACCAGTGCCCACCCTGTGCATAGGACAAAGACTCAGAGAGGGCCGTGGGTCTGTTTGAAACCAAAGAACAGTACAGAAATAAATAAAATAAAAACACAAAAACCAGAGGGGCCAAGGGGATTACGTCCTGAGGAACTCAGACGAAAGGATGAGAAATGGAATTGTTTCCTTTCAGAATCTTTCCTTCAATCCCATGTACTGGGCATCAACCTACCACAGGCCTAGCCCAGCACTGCCCGCAGAAAGGTGCCCGATCAATGTCCTACTGCAGTCTTATGGCAAAAGCCGCAGTCTGTGGCTCTGGAAGAAGTCTGGGCTTCAGGCCCAGCACACCTGTAAAGTCTGACTTCCCCGCCCTGTCAAAGGGGGGCTCAGAAGACCTTTGTTCCTCTGATTTTTGTGGCCCGCATTATAAGGAAAGAGACTCCAGGAGCTTCTAACCCAAGACCTGCAGATAAGATCAGCTCTAGGTGCTGAG